AAAAATATTGAAAAATATCTGTCATTTCAAAGTTTTGGGGTGTGGACCATCGGGGGTAGTCCGTTCCTGACTTTGTAGCAAAACAACTGACTCCTGCATGAAAGCTCATCGAAGGAATTCATTTGTTTAGTCAATTACCAAAATTTGGATGATTTTGAATATTCACTTGAAAAGTTATCAAAGAAAAACATTTTTCATTTTGTAACTTCGAGGGCCCGTTACTTGGTAACGAAGGATTTTAGGAAAAAAAGTTATATGAAGTACTGGTGATATTTTGACCCCATCTATACATTCCCGATAGGAAAAGAGGAAGTCCAGGGACACCCTGTATAATGTATTCATTTGTTTTATTAATATTAAATCAAATAAAATCAATATGGGTACCAAGGACAACCTTATTTTTTCTTGTTTTTATATCACAACCAACTATGCAAGACCAAGTTTGCAATTCAACACATTTTAGAACAAAATTCCATATTTATACCAGGAGAGACACAAAATGAATCTCATTAGTTCGGACTTCCATTGTCTAATATTATATGAAATGATTTGAAATCCCTGAAAGAACTAAAAATAACAATAAAAAATTAAAGAAGAATAAAAATGAATAGCTGAAAAAAAAAACAATTATATTAACCTGAAATGAAATAATAGTGAAATAAATTACAAGAATGGAAAAAATTGAACAAAAAATAGAACAAAAAAGGTAAAGAGATTCCAAGCCAAGTTACTTCACGACGTTTCGATTGTTAGTATCCACAATCGTCTTCGGGTGATAACGTACAGCCGAAGCTATTGAACCTAGAATCTTGAAATATGCAGAAAGGTTTTTTGTATAACGTAATCAAGAAAGGAAATCAGGAATTTCCACCCCCAAAGGGGAAAAATAGGGGTTCAAAGATTGTATTGAATTTCGTCAGTTTTGAAGTTGGAAACCTGAAGTTTTGTGTTAATAAAAAATATTATAACTATTTGTTTAAAATGGTATGTCAAGAAACCAACAAACCAAATTCTACGCGGGCTAATCCGCGGACAACAACTAGTCATAATGTAAAATAATTCAACTTACCAATCTCTTCGGCGCAGCTATCACCCCAATGTTCCGTGATTATCTCTTCTGTCATCTGGCACTCCATGAGCTGCTCCTGGTAAGTGGGTTGAGTCGCTTCATTCACCACCAAAACATTACCGTCGCTGAGGTAGACGACCCGTTCAACGGAACCGCCATCTTCAGCGTCGATCTCGCTCGTCTCGACGACCTCTTCGGATACCTGCTCGGCAGATCCCGTAAACTCTTCGGTTTCCGACGGAAGGATTTCATTTTCGATGCCGCATATAACTTCTTCAGACTGAACGACAGTCGTGGAATCCTCCCAGGTCAGACCAAACGATTCTTCCATTATTTCGGGAGAATCAAACAGGATCCCGCCTGATAACAAGTAATTCGATTGAATGAACATCATTCACAAGAACGTGTAAATTCACAAACTTTATGTTTATAACATAATCAAGAGACTCCTTCTACCTGTGTTTCCCAACTTAATTAAATGATACTCTATCTATGAAATATTGAATATCTGTCAATGTAATGTCAGTATTACCAATTGTGTTTATCAATGCTGGCGGCATGACAAGCTAAAGGCAATAAGAATTATAATAGAAAGTTATATATAACAAATTTCGTTGAAACAAAATTGAATCAATTGTATCTAAAAATCTATGTATCAAATTCTACCTTCATATTAGGTTAATACGATAAAACAAATAGTAGAACTAGTAATAATAATGATACACTGTAACCGCCGCGTACGCCACTGGCAAAGATGTCAGACAACATATATTATATACAACATTGACAAATAGGTGAGTGTTTCCGAAACGCGAATGCGAAAATAATAGAATGCGAATGAAGTTCCTATACAGATTTCATATTCTCATCAATTCTCTCTCTTTCGTAAGTTGATTATATCAAAATTTGGTGAACTTGTGTTTTTTCTGAGTTGGCTACCATGTTTATTTGTCGTCGATAACTGACATTAATGACGAATACATAGCGAACAGCAAATAAAACTCAAAAGTAGACATTACAAACATATTCACAGATGTACAGGGTAGCCAAATAAAATCCTTATCTAATATGATCTATAAACTAAACTATGGGCCTCAAATTTCAAATATAATTGAAATAGGAGACACTGCCCGATACATTTAAATCTACAAAGCAGCAACTAACTACCTGTAACAAAACTGCAATCTAATATATAAAAATGGATGTTTGTTGGTTGGTTGGTAAGTGATAAACTTCTACATCGCTCGACCGATCGTGATGAAACTTGACAGGTATGAGTAATTTTTCATAGAGAAGGTTTTTAGGCTATAAGTTTTTCTGTAACTCACCACTAGACGGCGCTGTCTAATAATTTTTTTGAAAGCACTGTTCTATAACGCTGCGCACGCCTAAGTTCGTTGATTCTGACTCTGTCAAAACATTGGAACAGCAGCGATACAGCAACATAGTACTAATTAGTACTACAACTACCAAATTCTACTAAACCTATATTATTAATGATATCAATTCAAAGGTATCCTTGTATTATGTGATACTGCTCATAGTTCAATTTATAACGTTTAGGATTAATATTGTTATGGATTCCATTCAAAATTGATAAAAAAAATTGCAAATAAGTCAAAATCAGATTAGTTTAATGGAGCTGTTAGGAATCACACGTTGAAAGGTAAGAACTCGTTAGTCCTTAGCTCGCACAAGTTTCTCAACTCTTGAGAGTTGTCGTTCGTATGGAGGCGACAGCTGATTAAAGGAAATACAGATTTTTTTAAACAGCTAGGTATTATATGTATCAACCATAGAATCTTACCTTGATTATCATTCATTGACATATAAAGTGATTTACTATATTAATCATCATTGATTTTTATAAGTAAGGTTGACTCACGCAACCATTTGCCACGAAATTTAATTTAAAGGTGGCCACTATTGGACTAGTACAAATCATTTGAATGGTATCTGTCAACAGTGTACATATAATTTTATATCTTAGCGTTTGATACAAAGAAAATATTTTTTAATAGGAACATGAAATTTTATATTGAGAAATCTAAATCAGATATATGGATGTGTAAATATTATATATTACTTTCTAGGTGTAGTATGGCTATAACAATAACGTCACATTTTATCGTATAGAATTTTGTAACAATGAACATATTTACATCCTCAGAACATTTTTCTTCGTTTCATTCCAGTGATCTGATGATTTTAACCAAAAAAAAATACTTAGAATTATCTTTAAATCTTCTAGAAAGCTTTTCAGAAAAAACTAAAACATTTGGTAATTTTTACGGCATTACAAATTTANACTGGATTTTTTATGGAGGTATATCAAATGAATTATCTACCAAACTCCTCCAACATCTATAGAAGATATAAAACGAAGAATCACTAGAGCTTTCAGGGAAATCACAGAAGATATACTGGAACGTGTATAGAATTCGTTAAAAAAAAGACTGACATTATGTGTAGCAGAAAATGGTCGCCATTTTGAACATCTTTTGGACTCCTCTATTCAATAAAATATTTAGGCGTTATTGTTCATATTGAAAAAATGTTGAGTAAGTGAACGTAAATAAATGAATTTTTTGTGGTTACAATTGATAAAACTGGGTATAATTTGTAAAATATCTGTTTTTCGTATAGAATACCACTGATAAAAAATGTAGTGAAATGTTGAAACATTTCATACAAATCAAATAATACAGGGTGTTCCACCTGAAAAAGTTGAATTATGTCTGTTTGAAAATGAATGAAACTTGACCGGTTTTACCGAGATTCCCGAAATCATCATATTATTCATAAAAAAAATCCACTTAATTGCTGTAGACATGAGAGTGGTGAATTAAAAAAAATATTGTCTGCAAAATAGGTTTTTTCTGGAATAACTTGGCAACGCCGCAATGGAAATACGGAAACAAAAATTCTTTAGAGAGTTAAAAAAAAAAATATGGAATAGAATGACGTATTCATATACTGGATGTTCTATTAAAAAAAAACTTCAGTTAGCCACTCTCGGCTTAATCACCCAGAATGTGAGACAATAATTTTAAAAGATAGTATTTATCGATATGACTACGAAAAAAAAAATTGAGCAATTCGAAAAATTGTTTTCCCTGATAGTAATGGACCGAGGGAATGTTGTTGACTCAAGGCCGTGACACGCTTCTTCATACGCCTCTCCGATCCGACTCCGGTTTGATTTTGCCCCAAAAGCGGATCGGTGCAGGATCGCCAGTGAGTAATCACACTTGTCATACATGCTTCCGACTTCTTTCCGATTTACCGCTCCGGCTTGATACACTTGCCACTCTCTCCAGTGTCGATTCAAACAATATCTAGGAAGGTCATCTAGGCAAAATGTTCAAGAATTTTAGCAACTGCGATTTAGCCATTAAGGCACTTTGGAAGAGGAAGATGAAGAAAATCGGAGAGCTCTCAGCGAACAGCGGTACAGCTCTTCAGTCTGGTCATATAGAACTGGATATTTTCTCACTTGTTCAATAAGCTCCTCCGGTTTTAATGACATTTTTTAAATTTCATTTGAAGAAAACAAAAACTCAAATATACGAACTCCAAGCGATACGCGTCCCGCAGCTTGTGAACAAATAGGCTGATCGGATCATGATCCAATACACGATCGGAGTCGGGTGGGAGCGGGGTTGGCAACGTATCGGAACGATGTGAACTAGTCTATTCCGACTAAAGTACCATTTCTCTCTCAGGCACTCGTCCGACTGTATGATGGGGGTCGGATCTGTAGGGTGTATGACAGGTGTGTCCCGACCTTCACCCTGTATTGCCGGCTGTTTCAGAGATCACCGATAAGAAGGTAGTAAAAGCACCAGAGGCTGACTTCCAATCATAAGATGTTAGATATCAATCTCGCTGAAGTGCCGAGCAGCAGGTTGAGAACCGCTTGGAAGTGAACAGGAGTGGTTGGATGAGATTCTGGCTTCTGTACACAGTTACCGTGCGAAGAAGATTCTATCTCAGGACACTCAACCCCTGGGGGGTAGACAGGGCCGTCGCCATGGAGGGAAGGGGGGAGCCCCCCGCCTCTGCTTTTTTGACTTGGGAAAAAGTTGGGAAATTTTGGGTCGTGAAGATAGAAAAGAATTAATAGTAAAAAAATGAAAAAAAATTTAAAAAATCAAAATGAGAGAAAAGAAAGGGAGAGGTAATAAGAAAAGGGAAAGAATCAGAAGAAGGTTGGGATTTCACAACATGCATGACTTGGAGATCCCATACTTTGAAATTCTGAGTTTAATTTCTCCCAAGTGATAGAACAGTCCTGAACTGTCCAAAAATTTTGAAGTGACAATTTTAAAATATTCCGAAATTTTTGCTGTTTTTTCGACTTGGAAAAGTTGAGAAAGTTCAGGCCGTGAAGATAGAAAAAATAATAGTAGAAAACAATAAGCGCAATAAGTGTTGTTTCCTTTCATTTTTATTGAATATTCCTATACATAGTGGATATGGTGGAAGACCAAGGACCTTAGTCCAAAGTAGAATATATCCCATTATTCCAATCTTTGGATAACTAAGTAAGAAAATTAATATATTATAGTAGTAACTAATCCCTCGGCCTTTTTCAAAAGTTGGAAAATTTTGCTGGTGGGGTTGGATAAATTTGGATTCCCTCTCCCCCTGGTTTTTCTTTTCGCTACGGCTCTGACAGGGCCGTCGCCATGGGGAGGGGGATGGGGAAGCTTCACCCCTGCTTTTTCGACTTGGGAAAAAGTAAGCATTCAGCCAATCTTTGGATAACTAAGTAAGAAAATTAATATATTATAGTAGTAACTAATTTCTCGGCCTTCATTTTTTCGAAAGTTGGGAAATTTTGCTGGTGGGGTTGGGTAAATTTGGATTCCCTCCCCCCACCCTGGTTTTTCTTTTCGCTACGGCTCTGACTTGTGGTAATGAATTATAATTTGCTACTGTCAAACGTGATACGTTTTTAATTGCTAACAAAGCATTCGAAAGTTTGCCACCAACAATGCACGACGTGCTTTGTTGGTCTCTCTAGTTATAGAAGTTTATATAGGCTGAAATTGTAAGATGGAAATATAACTTTTTTTCTTAAGTGACAATGTTTCTTGATCTATATAACGGCCTCCCATTATCTCAAATCTAAGGCAGAACAAATGAAACGAAACTGAATTGAATGTTAAAATTATTGAATATAATAAAAATAATTGAAGTGGAACATTCGATTCAGTTAGTTAAAACTTGCTGTATTTTTGCAATGCTATGATAACTGCAGTACTAGTTCCTTTTCAGTTTCGGAGTTTGGTGTATCTCAATATTTCTCAATTCATCTAGGAAAATCTGAACTTTGTTAGAGAATGGGCAAGGCCGATGAGTCCTTCTACGCCT